CGAATGAGTACAGTTTTTAAAACTTTTAGTCTAGCATCTACTGAACTAGATGGGGCCAAACTACAGCCAGAGTGTAACTTTAACTTCTGTGGGCAGACGGCATCAGCCTCAAATCAACCTGGGATAGAGCAGATTCGTAGCTTGTCTGGTCCACTGGCTGATTGTCCCCTTTCGTCATATCTTTGGATTATGTGCCTGAAAAGTCCCATTAAAATGAACGAAGAAGGTCAAAAGGTACAAACTTCCAGTTGTAAGATAAATAAAACCTGGAAATGTCAGGTACAGCATGCTGACTGTAGTTAATGATACTGTATTGTACATTTAAAAGTTGCCAAGAGAGTAAACCTTAAACGTTCTCATCACACACATACAAATTTGTAACTATGTGTGATGATGGATGCTAACTAAACCTATTGTGGTAATCATTTTGCAGTATATACACATACCAAATTGTTACGTTGTACACCTAAAACGAATATAATGTTATATGCCAGTTATAGCGCAATTGAAAGAAAAAAAAAAGGGCTGTTCTCCAGAAGAGAGAACAGATTAAGCTGTTTACAGCTATTTTTGCTTCAGTGATTAAAAAAAAAAAAAGCTCAATGAGTCATTCAGTTTGTAATCTATCTGTCACTTATTGTTTATAAAGTACTGTGTGTGGTGAAGAGGGGCGTGGTCCCTGCCTTAAGGGGTGAATGCTTTCTGTGGTATCACAGATGATAAGTGTGGTTGGAATGCAGGAAAGGAGCCTTCAAAAGACTCTCTAGTAGGGAGGAAGGAATTGAGTTAATGGCTGAAGGATGGGGGGAGGGGCTTCAAATGGATGATGGGAGGGATGTGAGTATAAGCTTGGAGAGTAACAGAACAGGTGTTCTGGGAAGGCAAGGAGACCTGCTTGGGGACAGGATTCGGGGCTGGACAGAGGCTGGAGGGCTAGGCCCGGAGCGTGGACCTCACCCTGTACAGGCAGGAGACCCCGAAGAGCTTTCAGCGAGAAATCTAGAGCTCCAGACCCATAGATTCTGAGGCAGAGTATTTGTTGACAGTGAGGGGCCAGGATGAGCATCAGGGACGAGATGTAGGACATTGATACAATAGTCCAGGCTGGGGGTGGCCAGACTTTGATTGATTGATTGATTGATTGATTGATTTCACAATCCTATGTCAAGAAAATAGTATTTGAGTCTCTTACTGAAAACATGTATGTATGTATCTACCTATCTATTGTTTATTAATCATTTATCTATTGACCCATATCACAGTTCTGTGTTAATATATTGAGTGCATTATGAAATAATTACAAAATATACATACAAAAAGAGGAAATTAATAGAAATGGAAGGTCCACTGTTTCGTCCTGCACCCGGGTGGCTCGATAGCCTTGTGTAAGAATGCCCTTGGTTTGCTCGAGTCTCACTCAGAACAGTGTGTCTGAGCACCAGGAGGCAAGGTCCTGAATGAACCAGACTGGTGGCGTCATGAACAGAGAGGAAGGAAAGGGGAGAGAGGCAGTTAGCAGGAGGAAGCCGCGGGGTGGCAATGGCTGGTCACGTTAGAGAGAGAGAGAGAGGCGTGACGATGTAAGAAATGAAGAGGACACAGACAGTGGTGTGCTTTAGGGCTTCGGGAGGGGACAGGTGACTGCCACCAAAGGAAAGGGGAGAGCTGGGAAGGGGTGCAGATTTGGGTGGAAAGCAGCATCATCTCTTCCCCTCCATCCCTCTGTTCTTCCCTCTGTCCCTCCATCCCTCCCTTGACATCGCCTTTACACAAGGCTGGAGGGTCTGCACATGTGACATGTTGACAGTAGGGGAAATGACCCAGGAGGGGTGTCCTGTGGGTCGTGGAGATGTGACCGTGGAGCAGCAGCAGGTTGGGTCCTGACCTAGGGCTGAGAGTTCGCCTTTGTGCTGATTCACCAAGGGAAAGAGGTAAACGCTGGAGGCCAGAGGCAGCCTGGCCTGAGGGTCTGCCTGCTGCAGGGCGGAGAGATGGGCATTGCACCCTCAGCTCCCTAGGCACGCCCTAGAACTGAAAATGGGGCAGCTCTGGCTGTTTCAGACTTGGAGTCATGGGGGGGCCCCGACCTGGAGGAATGATGGCGAGGCCTGAGAGGGGACCAGGAGAGGCCCTTTGCTGGAGGTGCTTCATGCTGTGGTGAACCAAGTTTGATACTGACCTTTCCCTTAGCCTTCTGGATGGCCATTCGAGTTTGCTTAAGTAACTTCCACTCTCTGCCTTAATAATTGAATGTTTCCATCTTTGCCGATATTACATTTTTCTTTTTTTCCCCACGATGCTACTTTAGATAACGTTTTTCTTTTGGGGCCGAAAGTAGCTATGTATGTTCATAGGGTTCTTGTGAATAGTCAGAATGATCATCTTTGCCTGCCATGTCTGACAATGGCCATGTTCTTGGTGTCTCCTTAGGTGGCCATAAAAGTCATTGACAAAAAGAGAGCCAAAAAAGACACCTATGTCACCAAAAACCTCCGGCGAGAGGGGCAGATCCAGCAGATGATCCGCCATCCCAACATCACCCAGCTGCTTGATATCTTAGAGACGGAAAACAGCTATTATCTGGTCATGGAGCTGTGTCCTGGAGGCAACCTGATGCACAAGATATACGAGAAGAAGCGGCTGGAAGAGTCGGAAGCCCGCAGATACATCCGGCAGCTCATCTCCGCGGTGGAGCACCTGCACCGGGTGGGGGTGGTCCACAGGTAAGGGCCACACCTTGCTGACGATCGCTGACTATGATGAATGGGAGACACTCTGCTTTAGTATGCTCCAAGCTGGGCTGAATCACTGCTGCATGTTGTACAAGTCTTCTGTGGTTTTGTTCCGTGGAGTTGTTTTGTGAATTGGGTTAATGTCAGCGTGGGGTTCCACGAGTGGCATCTGAAGGCAGAGTGCCTGGGTTTGCATCCTGGCTCTGCCCTTTAATAGTTTTATGACCCTGGGCAAGTTATGTAACCGCTCTGAACCTTGGTCTCTTCTTCTATAAAATGGGAATCATAATGATGCTTATTTTGTGGTTGCTGTAAGTGTTAATATAGAGAGTATAATGAGTTAATAAGAGCTTGGAACAGTATTTGGTACACAGTAAGGGCCATGTAAGTGTTGGTTGCTATTCTTATTATTTGCAGGATAATGAGACCAGCTGTTGGCGAGTACTAGGGACAGTGCTTTCACTGTACTAGCTTTACATATGGTAGATGCACAAGAACTGTTTTCTTCAATGTAATTGAATCACCATTCAAATTGTGAACTTGCCCTTGAAAGTGAGGGGTGTTCCCCATAAGCCAAACCAACCTTGCAAATAATTATGAAAATCAAACTTTTTTTTTTTAAATAGCCTGTTCCCTCCTGAGGAAGAGCTTCATAAGGAAAAGAGAACAAAAACACCATTCTTAGTAATGTTGCCGTGGGTAGTGGGTGCCTGCTTTTAGTGCTACACTAAATTAAAATAAAAGAAAAAAATAAATAAGAGCTTTTCCTCCCAAGAAAGTGTTGGCTTCACCAATAAATGCATACTTCTTCCTTCATGGGATTATAATCAGTAATTACTCTGGGTTGTTGAAAAATGTAGGGCTCTTGTTTAATGGATTTTCATTTTAAAAAACAAGATCAAGGCATAAAATATGTTGTGTGTGTATATACATACCCATATGTTTAAACTTTTTTTATTGAGATACAATTTACATACCATAAAATTCACCATTTTAAAGTGTACAACTCAGTGTGTTGTTATTTTTGTTGTTGTTTTTTAGTATATTCACAGAGTTGTGCGACTATCACCACTATCTAATTTTAGATTATTTTCATCGCCCCCACAAAGAATCTCTGTACCCATTAGCAGGCGTTCTCCATTCCCCCTCCTCCACAAGCCCCAGGCAACCTCTGGTCTACTTTCTGTCACTGTGGATTTGCCTGGACATTTCATATAAATGGAAACAAACAATATGTGTTCTTTCATGACTGAATGCTTTCACTTAGCATAATAGTTTCAAGAGTCATCCCTGTTGTAGCACCTATCAGCACTTCATTCTTCTTTATGGCTAAATAGTATTCCATTGTGTGACGATACAACATTTTGTTTATCCAGTCATCAGTTGATGGACATCGGGACTGTTTCCACCTTTTGGCTGTAGTGAATAATGATGCTGTGAACATTCATGTACAAGTTATAGTGTGAACATATATTTTCACTTCTCTTAGAGAGTTCCACTCTTAGCAGTTGCTGGGTCATACAGCAACTCTATGTTTAATCTGTGAAGGAAACTCATCTTTTTAATAATTCAACTTCTCACAGTGGCTTTTATCTGTTTGAAAGTCATTCACAGTCTGATTAGTGGAGAAGGCAGCTCAAGGGCTTTCAATCACAGAACTTGTAAGCTTTCAGTCATAGAAGTACTAACAGGATTGGCACCACGCTGCTGTTGCGCCTACACCTGGGGACACTGCGGGGGAGGTCCTCTGAGCTGGCCTTGACCAGGCACCATTCAGGCGGCTCATTTCCTCACCGAGGTGAGAGAACCACTTCAGGTCTATATTTTTAGTCACACATGTTGTCACGAACTCACGCTTCATTAGGAGTCTTTGAGTTTAGATCAGCGTGGAAGGGAACATTCAGAAATTTCTAAGTGAATAACCCTATTTTTGGCTCTTTCCAACAATACCCTGGGTAGCCTGTCGTGCCACAGCTCTGCCATTATTAGGAAATGATGGCCGTAAGTGTGCCTGCTTTCTGTCTTTGTTTATTAGGATGACAAAAGCAGACACCTCATGGATGAATCAGCATGGGTTATCGACTCCACTGGTGACAGTGGAAAATAGGACCAGGAGGCAGAGCGTTCTGTGGCACTCAGGGTGTTATTACAAGGGTTTCTTGCTGTCAGAAATCCGCCCTGAGCCGAGCTTCTCGGGATTTCGAGTACAACAAAGGAAAAGCGAGTGAAAGCTGGGCGTTGCTTGCTGGTCTCTCCTGAAGGAAATTCACAACCCTTTTAAAGAAACCTGAACAAAAACCAGTTCCTCTCAGTGCAATAACTGTCAGAATGTCAAAGGCACGGGGTTAGTAATGTTTTGATAGCAAAGACGGTGCCCTTTTTCTTGCTCTGATCTCCTGCTTGACCTCTTCCTCTTTCCTTGGAAATACACTCATACGCCAATAACGGCAGGAGCTCAGGGCTTTGAAAGTTAGGGAAGATTGGAGACACCGGTATCGTTTAAGTAGAGTTCTTCGTTTTTCTCTCTAGAAATCAAGTTAATGAGTGTCAGTGCACAGGGACAGGAGCGATTAGGTGGTTGAGACGTCCCATGAAAATGTTTGTTTGGAATATATGCATGGGTGGCTCTACCTGAATGTCTTGACTTTCAAAGATTCTGTACCCAATTTTTAGCACACTTTCATCTGGCTCAGCGCTGGCATGCTATTTACTGTAGCCCTTTTCCACGATGGAGAATTTTCACCTTCGTGCAGCAAAGGTAGAATGAATTTCATCAATTATTTCGAGGCTAGATTTTTTTTTTTTCAAATGCATAAGAGAGTAATAGCATTTCAGAGATGCCCGGTTGTCGCTAGTGGGAAGATTTCTGAGCAAACAGATGGGATCATCCAAAAGGATTTAGGGTGAATTTTGGTGGCTACATTATATCATTTAAAGGGCTTTTGGTTACGTGTGTTAGAGGATGCTTTATAAACACCGTTTCTCATTAGGCTGATTCTGTATTTTTATGTCTCATCAACTTGATGCTTAGTAGAGCTTTCTTTCCTGTGATATTATATCTACATATTTAGTTAATCTACCCAGAGCTATTTCAGTATCATTTAAAGGAAGCAAATCTTTAAAAGTCATGTAAATATGACAAGTAGAAAGGAAAAAAAGGAAACTAAACCTTTCTAACGCAGATTTCCTTAGCTGGCAGAGAACTTCATTTTACACCGGACCTCCGGTAACTTTTGTGTCCCGTAACTTTTGTGTCTTTTGCTTACACGAGGGCTGTTGGGAACTTTGGCAAAAGTAGAGTACTGTATGGTCTCAACTACTCCATTTTCAGATTGCCTGAGATACTCCGCATTTAAAATCTAATGAGGTTGTTTTTTTCTCCCTTTTTCTCCAACGTGCTCACCCAGCAGGATGCCAAAATCTGATGATTTGCTCTTGTATATAGAGTGTTGACTCCTAACATCAATCATCAAGAATGCTGATTCTACTAATTTGAGATTCATCTGTTCATTCACACTAACAAAGTCCAATCAAACTAGACAGACAAAACAGAACAGGGTAACACAATACCGCCATCTCTAAGCAGGAAGAGGCAAGCCAAGGGCGCGCAGGACGAGGACAGAGAGACACATGATCAAAGGGGGCTGGAGCCTGTGCTGGGATGTGCATCAACACTGCGGGCCCAGGGCCGTGACCTCATTCATTCACCAATATTGGGAAGGGGCCCCCTGCGCTTAGGGGAATGCAGTGGTTGGGAGGGGGGCCCTTCTTTGTTCTTGTGGGCCTGACAAGAAGCAGGCACAACCTGTACTGGGTGGGTTTTAAGAAGTTCTTTTAACTTTTAGGTTTTTGTGGAGAGGGAAGGGAGAGGAAGGCAAACGGAAGAGGAGTAACTTGTGCTCACCCCCGGGGGCTGTGTGAGATCCCAGGGCCTTCTGCGGAGACCAAGAACCTATCTGGAGGCCCTGGTTATGTATATAAAAGGTTCTGTGTTTAATTGGGTTTTAAAAAGTATGACGGAAATGTGAGATTTTACAAAGCTCCAGCTCCACAACTTTGTGGATTGGAGTGTGCACTGGTCAGCAGAGAGGACTCTAATGCCACTTCCTACATCCTCATGCCAGCCTCTGCTGCTTAAAAGCTGCACCGGGCAAATCACTCAGGCTTCTGGGCCTCCCTTTTCACATCTACACAATAGAAATCAAGGATTATCCACTTCATGTGGTTGTGGGGAGGATTAAATGAGTCCATTCATAGAAAGTGCTTAATACCGAGATACTCGGAAAGTACAGCAAGCCCTCGCTTAATGCTGTGGGTAGGTTCTGCGACTTGAAGCGAAACCACGTATAACAAAATCAGCTTTACCATAAGCAAATTGATGCAAACAAGAATTAAGTTCCTATAATGTTACAACCAAAGGACGTTGAACCAAATGTGTTATTCGAGGACCTGCTATGCTGACTACATGTTCACTGTAATTATTACTGAGTCCGCCTCATTCATTTTGTACACTGGGGGCTGATGTATGTGTGCTCAAGGCCCCACAGCTGTTCTCCACTTGTACTGCCCTTGCTATCTTTGTCTGGCAGAATCCTGCTTATCCTTCAGGTCACAGCTCCAAGCTCACCTCCTCCGGGAGGCCCTCCAGGCTAAGCGCCCTGGTACTAGATACCCACTGCACCTTCTGCTTTGCTTTCCAAGCATTTTTCACATGATAACTTACTTGTTTGACATCTGTCTTCTGCACAGGCTACAGCCTAGCCCAGTGCCCAGCCAGGTGGGCACACAGTAAGACTTTGTTGAATGCATGAAGGGAAATTGAATGAATATGGTTAGTGTCAATGTTAGCACTGGGATGGAAGCTTTCTGGTAGCCAGTTCCATATTCTTTCTGGAATAGTCCCTGTTTTCCCTGGAATTTCAAGGGGGTGTCTCCATTGACTTAGTACCAATTTGTTTACTTTTCAGGTCCCAATTCGTAGAGTGGCATCT